AGCCGTTTAGAGTTTGGATAGAAAAAACGCAACATGGAATTTATAGGATCAAGAAACAATAGTTTGTTAAATTAATCAAAGAGTAGCGTGACTAAAAAAAATTGTTTTTCCAAAATGTAACGCATGCCTATACGTTTAATTAATTTATTTAATTTTCTTACATTAAGTTGTTTTGACTAATGTGATGTGTGTTTGTGTTTAACTTTTGAAACGTGTGTAAGTAAATAGTAATTACTATTTTTTTTAATTTTTGCATGTGGTGCAGTGGTTTTGTTCGAAACCGGTTGAGGTAGCAAGACCGGTTCCAATTTGGTAATGGTGGACAAAACCGGTTGAAGTAGGGAACCTTACTATGTAGTTAGTTACTAATCATTTTACACTGATGACTGTAACGTATCGTTTTCTCTTACAGAGCAAAGATTCACACTGTCTAAACCATATGCAACAAACTTTTGTCTGAATATAAATCATTGTTTACATATATTTTGGATTGGACAAATTAGTTTGTTTTTGCCAGACTTTATGATATATGATAAAAAAAAATTGTTATTACGACAGTTTCTAGAAATTATCAAAATCCCTAACAATAAATATGAATTGGTTTAGGGTTTGGATTTCAACACTCGATTCTCACAGCTCCACTCTCAGAGGAAACGAATTTCGGTTTTCTAATAACTGGCTCCATGCACTGAATCACATCTCCGACTCTAAAATCATTCCAATCTCCCATCACAAGCCCACACTCATTTCCTTTCCCGACCTGTTCCACATCTTGTTTCTCCCGTTTCAATGATGCGCACGAGCCTTCAAAGACCACTTCTCCACTCCGCAACAGCCTCATCAGTCCGCTTCTACATACCCGACCATCCATCACTTTGCAACCCGCGATGTTTACTCCATCTTCTTCGGTTCTCCTCTTTCCTAAGATCTTAAAAATGCTAAGTACCTCGGCTTCACCAGCCACCTGCATCTCCGATACTCCTGGTGCTTTCTCTACTATCAACTTCCCAATGTCTTCAAGCAAATGGTATATCACACGGTGATGGAATACCTAAGAGATGACCATCGATTACAATTTTGAAAGCTACCTCTATGATAAATGCGAAAGAGCGTTTGAAACTATCGAAGCCATGTGAACAGATTATTTTGAAAACAACGCGTGTACCTTGACACTGGCTTGAGCTGCAGAAGGATTAACAGAATTTCCACTCCTAACGTTAAACCCAACGATACACGCACCGCAAGCTTGTGCCGTGTCCAAATCAGATTGAGAAACTGCTCCCACTCCGCTATGAACAATGTTCACAGAAACCTTTCCAAATAAAAAGAAAAGGCAGATTCACAAAACAGGAAGCCAATAAGCAACAACCACAATGATTAACCCACATTTTTGTTTTACACACCTGTGGGCTATTTAGCGTTCTTAATGCATCAGCAACAGCCTGCGCAGTCCCTTGCACGTCTGCTTTCACTACTATTGGTAATTCAACCCGAACAAACCCTTCGTCAGACTCTGATTCTTTTGTCTCTGCTTCTGCTAATCTCGCTTCCTCTGCTTTCAACAACCGATCTTTTTCATATTTCCTTTTTCGCCCTTCACTCAGCATCTTCGCGCGTTCCTCTGATTCCACCACGATGACATCGTCACCAGCCATCGGAAGACCCTTAAGCCCTTCAATCTCAACGGGCATCGCAGGTGTTGCTCGGTCTGTTGGCTTACCAATCATGTCCCGAATAGCTCTGAGTCTTCCCCACTGAGACCCAATTACTACATGATGACCACTCACCAAAGTCCCAGCTTTTACAATAATAGTTGCTAACGGTCCACGGCCTTTGTCGAGCCGAGCCTCCACCACATACGCTTGAGCTGGTCCGTCCACGCGTGCTTTAAGGTCCATATCCACAGCTTGGAGTAGCAGAGCTTCTTCTAATTTGTCTAGCCCTGTACTCTTGATTGCAGACACCTCAACAACCTGAAACAACAAGCCAAACCACCATAGTTAAACTAACCATCTTGGATAAAGGTTAAAACCAAACACAAAAAAATTCACAGTTGCCAAACCTATTCGGTTTCAATTATAACTGAACCAAAAATAAATATATAATTCAACTGATTGAAACCGCAATTTCTTTAAAAATCCTTCAAAAAGAATTTTACCAAACTGGAACAAAAACCATATCAAACCAGACCAAGCCATATTCAGTTTCGAAATTTCATTAACCAGTGCGGATAAAGTCAAACACTTAGAAAACACAAATTCCAAAGTTAAAAACTCTCACCTGAACGTTTCCTCCAATATCCTCAAGCTCTATCCCCTCAGAGGCGAGCTGGTTCTTAACTCTTTCCGGATTAGATCCGGGTTTATCGCATTTATTAATAGCAACCACAACTGGAACATTCGCTGATCTAGCGTGTGCAATGGCCTCAAGCGTCTGCGGCATTACCCCATCATCAGCAGCGACGACCAAGACAACTATATCAGTCACAGCGGCTCCCCGAGCACGCATTTCGCTGAATGCGGCGTGACCAGGCGTATCGAGGAAGGTGATTGAAGTCCCAGAATCTGGCATTCCCACCACGAATGCACCCACATGCTGAGTGATTCCACCAGCTTCTCTTGCCGCCACAGAGGTGTTTCTTAAAGCGTCCAACAACGAGGTTTTTCCATGATCGACATGGCCCATTACAGTTACAACCGGAGGCCGTGGGAGAATTTCAGATCCTTCTGTAGAATGTTGCCTCCTTACATTGATCCCAATTTCCTGTGGAGGACGAGAAAACAAAAACAGAATTACATTATATACGGATATTCAATACAGATGAACAATCTGATAATTAAAACTCAAGCAAATGTTTTATGGATGCTGAATCCAGATAAACCGATCTGAGCAAAAAAATATCAATCCAAAAACTAAAACATCTCAATTTGTTAAAATGGTTTAACTTTTTTGATATCCAAAAAAAACTAAATCTTAAACTCCTTGAAAGTTACAGAAATATCCGATTAAAAACAAAAATCTTGTCAATCAATCCATAGTAGATTTGGTTTTACATAGTAAAATCACCTTACCATTGCAATGAGCTCGGCGAGATCGATACTGATTGTGTCGAATTCTGAACTAACGGTTTCCCCAACATTGACGAGAATGGTCTGCAAAACCATCACTGACTCTCCAGTACGCTTAGAGAGCTCGAGTAGTGTCATGCCTTCGAATATGTCGACCGTCTTCTCAGGCAACCCCTTTGCCAATCTTTTCAGCCTAGGAGGCACATAAGGAGCTTCAACGGGTGGCTTGTCTATTTTTTTCTCTCGTTTTGAGAACTTTCCTTTTGTTTTCACAGTCTGTTTTTTGCGTTCACGATGACTCAGCGCACGATCGGGATCCTCTTTCCTTTTCGCTAGTGTTTCTCGACTTGCATGAAAATACCTGTTCCAAACAACCCAACACAGGCCAGTAAACATTCAAATAGATACTCT